GAGGCAGCCTGCAAGGGTAAGCAGCCAAGGAAAGAAATGGAGAGCCTCCTGCCTTGGGGCTTTTCCCTGATAAGGAAATACTCAGCACAGCCGTCAAGGTCAGCAGAAAACACTCCCAGCCCCCCTCCCCTCACTCCTCCGGGCTCCTCTTTCGCCCTGCTTGCTGTGCACCCCGAAATACCACATATCACAATGGTATAAGCTGCTCCCCGTGCTTGTGCTTGGGGCTCAGACCTTTGGAGATTACTCTCCTCTGAGCCCGCCCGTGTGAGATAAACCTCAACCCTCCAAGACCTCCGTGTGCTGCTTGGTTCTTCCATCAGTGATCCAATCCAGGTTTTCCATAACACCCCAACTTTTCCACCTGACAAAGAAGAAAATCTGAGACACATAGACTCCCATGTTTCATGTGCATTCTATACGGTCAAAAGTCTGTCTCTCCAAAAATATCACAATTTTGGAAAACCTTTTGAAACTACTTTTTTAAAGCTAAATACATTTCCACCAAATGACAAGGTTAAGACTCACAGCAGTTTTATTCACAATAGCTAAAAACTAGATCCCAATGTCTACCTACAACGAAATAAATTAAGGAATATGCATAAAGGAGAATACCATCAATAAAACATTACAGCAATAAAAACATCTGCTACAAGCAGTATCACAGTGGAATCTCACTGAATGGGTGAAAGAAGCAAGCCACAACAGCATACACAGTGTATAATTCAATTCATGACATTAAGGAATCAGAGAAACTAAACTGTGGTAATAGAAGTCAGAATATCAGTTACTGATGTCTCACGGGGGGAAGGACAATACAGATATGAACTTAAGAAGGGGTATGAAGGATCCCCCTGAGGTATTGAAGATAATATATATGTATGTAAAAATCTGTTGATTTTTACACTTAAGATCTGTGTATGTACATACACCTCAATAAACATTTTTTAAAATTGACCCTTTGCTCCCAACAGCTGGTAGTTGCTGGAATTATGTGTACATCACTGTTTGTAGCATAACTACTCTTTCCCTTAGCAGCTACCCACTTCGGGTTATTCACATTTTTTTTCATAAGGGAGTTCCTCTTGTATCCTGACCACAACAAAATATTTGAATAAATTAAACAAAACAAAAACATTTTAAAAAATCATTTTCATTATACATATTCAGGGCAGATGTGTTCAGCAGAATAACCCAAGTCCACCCACAACTAGAAGAAAAGTAAAAATGTATAAGCATTTCTGAAGTGTAATGATTTTCGTACTGGCTTCTAGTGAAGACTAGCTGCAGAAATACAGAGGGAAAGCCTTCTACATTCATATGTGACCACAATTCTCACTCCTGGGTGACTTGGCTTTGAAGTCTAGGGGCACCCCTTATGGGGAAAAGATGAAGCCCATTTGAGAGTCACCCATTCCACACTTTCTTATATATGTGTATTACCTCATGTAATACCCTTAAGCTCAGTAGTATTATATAAAGCAAGGCTTACAGACATTAAAGCAACTTCCCCCCTCAAAGTTACAGAGCTTCGTAGTGGGAACCCTGATTGGAGCCCTCACTGTCTTACTCGGATTCTGTGGCATGCCTCTGTTAATCAGACTGCTTGGCTTTCTTTGGGTTGCTTCTAGACTGATGTATTTAGGAAGGGGCTTTTAGATTACTTAGATTAGCCATGGTAAGTTTTTCCCCCAGTAAAGTACATGGCATTGATGCAGGCAGATAGAACTCATGGCCTGGTAAGACATAGACTGAGAGAACTAAGATCAGGGCTTTGCAGTAAACAACAAAAAAACCCACTGCCTGGAAAATTCGGCCTGAAAGATGGTAGGGTCCTCTGGTCACCATCTCGTTGCCAGTGGCAATCCCCAGCCAACCACATGGGCTTCTTCCTTTCAAAAAGGCTCCAATCCGACTCAGCCATTCAAAAGTATACTTAGAGAGACCTGAGCTCTGATTGGTTATGCCCTATGCAAATGAAGCATTGTACTTTCAGCCAGTAAAGGATGAGTTATAATGTCATTAGTTCAGTTGTCTATTAGGTCTGCAGGGCACAAAATTCCTCGTCTGAAGAAACTTACAAAACCCTAGACACTGCCACCTCAAGGCATCCTCTCTTGGAGCTCCGCCTGATTAGCAGGAACCCTTTCCTTTTCACTCATTAAAAGCTTTGCTGGTGACTCCCTACTCATCAGAGGCTTCATTCCTCTTCGCCTCTGAGACACAATCCTAGAAAAACAGCATCTCATCTGGTAATAGTATCTTTTTTGTTAGTCTATATTGATGAAACATTTGTGAATTTACCCTGTCACAATCCAATAGAACTGAAATGGATGCTCTATAATTCACACAACTGTTTTGTCATTTATCTTGCCATCCTGATTTGTCTCTGCCTCTGAGAATTCTGGAGGCACAGGTATGGACATGTTCCCTGCCTTCAAACCTGCTTACTGCTCTAGCAACTATGGCAGTTCACCTCTGGTTTCAACTACTGTTTGTTCCTAATTGTTAGCTGGCTCTGTGCTCCTGACATTGGAAGCTAATAAAACCACATTTTTGGAACCAGATTCCACCTCTCAACACCCTGCACCACCACCAGACTCCACTTTTAGCCATACTAGCCATCTTTTCACAAAGAGCCTCCTAATGTGATCGCCAGGTATCAGAATCTAGGGGGGAATACGCTATGTACTGAAAGCCTTGTTTGGAAGCAGTGCCTGAAAGGATTTAATAATTGCCAGGTTTTTCATGGCTTTCCATCAGTCTTTCTCAATCAGCTATGGTGCACTGGTTACCCAGATGGACCTAGGGCAATCTACTCAGATCTACTGTCTCAGTCTGTTTGCAACGGTGATGTTTCTTCAGGGAAGCAGAGTGAAGCACTGTAAGTTCCCAAGGTTGCAAAAGGCTGCACATCATGGCCGCTCAAAGACATTTGCTGCCTTTATCTTTCCAAATAAGAATCACAGGATTCTTTGTAAGTCCGATTACATTAACTGAAGCCATAATTGGTAAAAATAGAGTATCTATGGATAACTTGGATGCATTTGATATTAGCAAAATTTTGATTAAATGACATCAGTAGAAACCGAGGGTTTCAGTTATTAAAATGGGAAGGGCCAGGCCATACAATAACAACTTCTGCCCTCTTGGAAATACTGAGGAAAAGCTTGGGATCTTCCTCCACTTCTCACTCGTTCTGCCCAGGGGAACAAGTAGCTCAGCCTCTTTTCCCTGTTCCTGTTGCTCTGTGACAAGGTCACTGGAGAAGGGATTCTCTGCCATGTACCAGGTGGACATTGTCACTTCAGGAGAAAGCACTGGGAGTCCATTTTGGTTCTGGACTTAAATCATACACCCCAATATACATTCGTCAGCAATAAAGCTTGTAAAAAGGATTTTGTATATGTATGCATATGGACATATATTCCAGACATTCAACAAGTTCAGATAATTCTAGGGAATACTACAAATACACTTCCACAACTTGGTTTAAGAGCTAGAACACTATCCATGTAATTACAATGCTTTGTATATCATCCCTTATTCCCATTCTCCCACACATTTCCTATCAGAGAGAACCACCACTGAACTGTGTTTACCATTCCCCTGAATGTTTCATATTTTTACTACTTATGTATTCCTTAATACCACATTTTGTTTTGTTAATTTCTTATGCCTTATGCATAAATAGTATCATGCTAACATATTCATATAAAAAGTGTTTACCTGAGTAAAATAATTTACTCATGTTGATAGATGTATTGCCCATATACCCAGTTTAACTGATTATAATATTCCCATATATATGGTGCATATATATGGTGATAAGATTTTTAGGTGATGCGCCATATTTCACTATTAGAGACCTGCTACTATGAATATTCTGTGATACATTTCCATGTACACATATGTGAGAATTTCTCTAGGGTATATATCTCAGAGGAGAATTACTACAACCTTAGGTAAGTGCATTTTTACTGTTACTATATATTGCTAAAGCTGATGTTTGGATCTCGGATTCCTCATCTGTTTTGTAGTTATTGCAGATCCCCTGGGAGAATGGGGGTGACTAATGCTTCCTCCTTCCTTTACCTAAGGTAATCTTTCTTCCTCCTCTTTCTGTCTCATAAATGCTTAATCATTTCCTAAAACTCAGTCAAGGTCCTCTCTCCTGTGAAAGCTTCCCCCCACAGGTAGGATGATCGCTCCCTCATTTGTGCTTTCATAGATGGCACAGACGGCAGTTTTGTACGGAACTTGTCAATTATTAAATCCCGGGCAACCTGCTTTGTGTGCATTTCTGCACCAATTTCACAAAGACTGTAATCTCCAGAAGGAAAAAACCAAAGAGCAGACTCCAGAACACCAAATTATAGGGACATTATGTCCTTTATCCCAAGATTCCTAATCACCCAGAACCCCAATTCGAAGGGCTACCCATCTGCAGCATGCTTAGCGTTGTCCTTGGTCTATCTTAGCCTCTCTTATCCAGCACCCTTGCATTCTTTATAGAAGTTGGAATATGAAATCAATTTTATTAACTCTAACACCTGCAAACACACAGGTAACACAGTCCTTCCTTGCCATCTACTTGACCATAAGAGATACATACACGTGTGAAACCATTGTAAGAAACATCCATGTGTTGAATTACAAAACTATAGGGCTTTGAATGCTCAAAGTTCTTAGAGGTGATATCAACACAATCTCCCTTTGATAAATAAGAAGTTGTCTTTTGAGATGATGCTTCACCTGAGATAACACAGCCAATTAGTAGCAAAGGCAGGTTTTATGTAACTCATCTTCTTTAATCCAGCAAATATTTAAACAGCACTCAACCACGCCACATTTCTCTGTATACAGTAATTAGAGCAAACCTGAGAAATTCAATTTCATTAAAACCATTTTCTTGTAGATCTACTCTGTGAGTATCGCTGTATGAGGTAGATCACGGACTTCACAAACAACAGTAATACTGCAGTTTTCAAGAAACTTACTTTTCATCTGGTGGCAGTAAAACAGGAAAATGGTGATAACTCAAGTGCAACCGAATGTAAGCTTGGAAGTTTCAGCTGAGAGAGCAAGAGCTCATCATACCTCAGTCTCCCAAAGGCAGACTGTTCTATGTGGGCTGCCCCAATGTAGTGAGTCAGTTAGAGGGGAGGACTTCCCTTTGAATGAAGGCTAAAGGATTTGTTTTCAGATTATTATGTCTACTACTCATTGGACATTTGACTCATCATTTTGCTATACAAAATGATCGATTTTTCTGTTACCCAAGAATGTTCACAAGATGATGATGATGCAATTTGCCACACTTTTCAGTGGCCTGGGTAACTGCCCCCAATAACTACATAATAAAGTTAGAGTTGAACATAACAAAGAAGCTATGTTTTGATTCCAGAGTCCTTGCTGTTTAACACACCAGTTACAAATTTTACCATGTAACAGGTGCTTTAAATGATCTCATTTAATTCTTATCATAGCCCTATGAGTTGTATTTGAATATACTCAGTTCAGAAATGATTCAGAGGACTTAAGTCACTAACCTAATTAAATACGTTTTCTGTAAGTAACTAGAATATGCCTCCTCCCAACAAACAAGAGCATCTGTGTGGTTCTAAAGGCCATTTTCCTTCCTCTTTATCACGGAGTCAGGTAATAATGCAAATGGCAGGATGAAATAACAAAATAAATAGCACCAAGTTCTAGGTGTAACATGAATAGTAGATACCTTAGTGTCAAATCCAAAAGAAAACCCACATTCCCCTCTAACTAAAGTATTGAAAAGGACTGTACATGTTGACTAAAGTCACTTAAAAAGGCACCAAAGAAAAATGACATTCATAACACACTGAAAAGCCTCTTAAAATCGCTGTTTCTGTTCTAATTATGTATATCAGTGGTGCTCAATTGCTCATCTCTACTCTCAAAACCTCCAAATCTCTCTTCCTAAACTCGGGGTTCACTGACTTCCCTCACTATGGCTCTGCCAAGGAGACTTTTTTTCTTAATAACAATGAAGCAAACTTTTCTCCCTTCTTTGCATAGTTAGGATGATGGGGGAGGGGGGAAAGCCATGAACATCATACATTACTATTTTATCACTCACAGAAGCATTCATAGAATGGGAATCCCTATTTGTATTTCAGTAACAGAACAACTTCAAACAAGGATAGCAATTATTTGAGCCTTGGAGGAGAGGATGAGTTTGGGTGTTTACAATATTAATACATCAACATATGGCCTACTCTCTTACTCCAAATGCTAAGAAGTTGAAGGCCAAATCCGAATATTCTGAATCATAAGACATTTGCTCATACCTTTCAAAGGTATTTCCTGAGAAGAGCAGCCGTCCTACGTGTGAGCTCTAGGAAACCTACAATCAGCTTCTCTAATTGAGCGTTTTCTCTCCTTAGATTTGGGAAGAAGCATGAAAATGATTTACTGATTTAGGAACTGGGTGGAGCAGACCACAGAAGGACAAATGAGAAACATCTGGAACAAACCAGTTGACAGAGATTGTGAGAGAGGGAGGGAGGGAGGAAGAGAGAAGTAGGGCTTTCAAATGAAACAAAGTACAGATGATTTGGCCAAATTTAAGCCAAGCCAAACACTCACATTAAACATTGCACTTGGGTCTAGTTCAATAGCAGGAGCCGGCGAGAGGGAGCGACGGCCAACATTGCATCAGAAGTACATTGTGGATAGAGGAAATGAGTTTAGTCAAGCCAGCTGTGACTTCAAAGGGGCTGCTCTCTCAGAGCACAGTGGGAAAGGGTTCCCTCTTCAGTGAAGATTGCGAAGTTCAGCCAAAGCCAGTCCAAAGGGAATGGACCTCAGGAGAAGGGAAATTACACTCAGCGTATAAGAAAGAATATTTTTCTTCCATATGAAGTGACTGCGACAGTCATGAAAAGGAAGAAGATGACGAGGAAGAGAAGTGGGAAGAAAAGACTGACGTTGGAGGCCTGGAGGCCTATGTGCATAATTCTGGACTGGGGCGTTTGTGGATAAAGCTGCTTTTCTGCCAGACACCTCCTTGCATGAGTCATGCTTCCAAATTGGTGCGAGGGGAGACAATAGGATTCTTCCGCCCACTGACTCCCATAGACAGTTACTTTCTGCCTTTTGTACTTCTAGAAAACCACACATTTCTTTCAAATTATTTTTCAACACACATCTATTAAGGAACAAACAGTGGATTAGACCCTGGGACTACAAAGGTGAACAAGATGGTCCCTGTCTCAGGAGTTCACAGTCTGACGGAGGGCTGGACACATACACAAAGGGTTATGGTATTGAACCAGAAGTCTGATACTAGAGCGGTGATCTGAAAGCTTGATTGCCAGGACCAGCCACAGCATCACGCTAGAAAGGCACATTTGTGGGCCGCTGCACCAACCTACTGAACTAGGAAGCTGAGGTTGGGTTAACGAGCTCTCCACGTGACTCCAGTGCATCTCAAGTTGTAGAACTACCTTGAGAGGGAAGAGCAAAGAGGACTTTGGAGCAGAGAGAAACACACCTGAGCCAACTTTGAGATCCTGGCTATGTATAAATCACTTCTCAGTCCTTTCCACACTAGATTCAAAATAGGTTGCTCTCCAGTAACTCATGAGAATGACACACGAGTGTATGTCTTATCTAAGTAAACTGTAAGAACTTCAAGGGCAGGAGCTGTTTTACCTTTTGTTTCCTTCCCTTTCTCTTCCCTCCAGTCATCAGCCCAACACTTAGAAGACAGAGATGTTGACACTTTAATTAATTAATTCAGAAATTAGACTGGCACAAGTATACATTCACCAGAAGAAACTGGCAAAGATACACTGTAAAGTGGCCATAACTCCTAAGTTGGTGGAGAACACAGATGTTCTCTCTCCCAAGCATTCATTTGATGCTTGAATCCTCTCTAGGATATCCTCGCCAAGGGTTTATCCTTTGTATATCTGGGTACCTGCACTGACCTCACTCTCTCAGGATGCAGTTTCCTTCCTTTCAGACAGCTGTTAGAAAGAGCAAGCTTCCTCTGGGCTGAAATCTACCATCACTTCAATTCCATTTGTTCCATACAGTCCTATCCCCTGGAATCCCATAGCAAAGATACTTACATATTAATGCAACATTTTTTAAGTATTTGAAGTTAGTAATCAGGCAGCATAGGACGTAGGTTAAATTCACTGATTCTGGAACCAGACTGGCTACAAATTCCTTTCTGTCACTTAGGAGCTCTGTGACCTCGGGAGAGTTATTTACTATCTCTGTAACTATGATTCTTTATATCTATATACACACGTACATATAATATGAAGCTACATAATAGCATTACACAAAGGGCTTTTCTAAGAAGTGCATGAATTAATGTATGTAAATGTGCAAGGAACACAGTAAGTGCTCTAAAACATTCAGCTATTATTAATCGTCATTATCATGGAGAGCCTGTCAGATACCTGATACAGGCCATCTTTCTAATTCTGTTGTCATTCACTAGGTGAGCCTATTCCCCCCCATGGCTTCAATCACCATCTACATGTTTGTGAAAAAAATCTCTTCATTCTCTTCCTGAGCACACAACTAAAATGTAAGTGGCCAGTGGGAACTATATGAATTGCTCTGGCCACTATAATCTGAGCAGAAATGAGGTACACCACTTCTGATCCTAGCCCCTGATGTCATCCTGAGAAATCCTCCATTCTTTCTCTTAGGTCATCAGCTAGTCAAATGCAAAGGAATTGGCCAAGAACTCAAAATAGTGCAGCCACGAGTTGGAAGAAACCTAGATCCCAGAGCCCATGCTCGGAGGGATGCTGCCTGGGAGAGCTCACAGACTGGAACATGGGCCTTATGTAAGCAAGGAATAAACAGTTATGTGTTGAACCATTGAGATATTATAGCCTATCATGACTAATACAATGACTTCCTAGTTTATATCTCTTTCTCAGGCTTTGCTTCTGAGCTCTAGCATTATACAATACACTTTCTGTTCAGCCTTTCTCCATGGACCCTCAAATAGGGTAATAAGTAAACTCAATTCTTCAGGGATCAGACCATCTATGCTGAAATACCAGTTATGCCAGGTACCAGCTATCAGACCACTGGGTAAATTATATAAAGTATTCACAACTGTAATTAAAGATATGCCCACATAGCACCCATCATACTCCTTCTTTAAACTCAGTGCACTTGCCATTATTTGTACATGGAATCTCACTCTGTAACAATTTTTCTCATCTGTAAAATGGAAATGATGGGCCCCAAGTCATCAGATTGATTATGATTATGCTAGCTATCTCTCAGGCTCAGAGAAGTTAGAAATTTTTCCAAGGGTAACATCACCATAACTGATAAAAGTTAGGTTTGTACCTAGGTCTTATAAATCTCAGTCTAGAGCTCTTGCCATCAATTCTTAAGGAACTGTCTTCTCCTTTAAAAAAGATAATAAAAATAAGTGGATAGTGCCAAGAAAGAAACAAGTGAAGCTAAGGCTAAGTTCTACCGAGTGCCCACAAGCATCTTAAGTTATATTAGATGATGTGCGTCAAATTTAGCCTAACAGGGATGTTCTCTTTCTTAGAGAGGTTTATGGTCACATTTTCTAGAAGAGTTGAAAAAGAAAAGAAAAGAAAAGAAAAAGAAAGAAAGAAAGGAAAGGAAGAAAGGAAGAAAGGAAGAAAGAAAGAAAGAAAGAAAGAAAGAAAGAAAGAAAGAAAGAAAGAAAGAAAGAAAGAAAGAAAGAAAGAAAGAAAGAAAGAAAGAGGAAAGAGAGAGAGAGAGAGAGAGAGAAAGAAAGAAAGAAAGAGGAAAGAGAGAGAGAGAGAGAGAGAGAAAGAAAGAGGAAAGAGAGAGAGAGAGAGAGAGAGGAAAGAGAGAGAGAGAGAGAAAGAAAGAAAGAGGAAAGAGAGAGAGAGAGAGAGAGAAAGAAAGAAAGAAAGAAAGCCAACATTCTAGCACTTTCTTCTGCCCTCAAATAGGAAAAAAAAAATTGATAGTCGTTGAAGCCTGTGGGTTTTCTTCAGCTTTTTTAGAGTCATGGAGTTAATAGTTCTGTCGCCTTCCCTGGTTCTAATAAAACTCTGCAGTGGGTTTTGGATTACGCTCATTCTAGGAGGACTCTTCATCAGTACCCAGCCTTTGTGGTCCCACAGCCTCTTGCAATGAATTTGGGGGCAAAGGTCTCTGGTTACACCCACCACTGAAATCAGACTCAGCTACACTGCAGGAGGAACACATTATAGGGGGGAATACAGTATTCACCCCTATAGGACAAAAACAATAGGCTTGCAGAGATTCCCTGTCTTTAGTTTTGACGATTCTATAACCCACTGCCTCTGACATTGGAGACAGCCAGGATTTCTTAGCAAATTCTGACCTGCACAGAAAATAAAATAGCATGCAGCAAAGGATTCAAATTGAGTCTTGGGAAATGTTTTCTCTAAGAGAAGAGGTCGAACAAGTTTAAATACAAAGACTTATAAATCCCTCTAAGTATTTTTCCCTCTTTAATAGTTCCAGCCAGTGCCTTATTATTATTCACCCCGTGTTTGAATAATGGAACGCTTAGATCACTGTATTCAGCAAGGGAAGGAAATGCTGTATGTTCTAAAAAGCACTTTGAATAGAGCTCTCTCTTTCTGTGAGGCCATACTTCACT